AAATTATTCCCAAAAGGAAAAAAATGAGCTCTAATAAACCAGATTTATGAGGAATACCCAAAAAAATATTTAAAAGGTAGGTTAGAAAAACAGTGCAACTAATATATTTCTAGGATATTTAGATTCTTAAGATGAGAAATAAAAAAATTACGTATGTGCATCAATAAATTGAAAATAGAATCGCCATAAACGGGTTTGCCGTTCTAGTGTGGTGCAGCCACTCGGAATGGTTTTTCAAGCGCCGACGTCGAAAATACCGCACTGTGGCCCGACCCATAGATGGCAAGAATTAGCAGAATCGATATAGTTAGGTAATAGTTATAAGAACGAATCTTAATAAATAGTTACGATAATAAACGATTGTGTTCGAAACAAGATAGTATCAAACGGCTTTTCCGCCGATCTAACATCATTAAACTTCAGTGTAGTAATTTCGTCATGTTTGTGGTGGGAGGGGGATGAAATGTTTATTATACCCCATCCCTACAAAAAAAAATTGTATTTATTATAAGCATCTCATCTAATTTTAGTGCAATAAATGTATATAATCTAAACGCATATGACATAAGTACGGAAACAAATAATCAAAGAATATTCATACCTATTACTAATATTATAAATATATAACATATATTAATATTATACTTTAACGCCCAGTACAGCTAGCATGAGGGGATTCAGGTTTTTTTTTTTGTACTGTTTCTGTAAAATATAGACTTTATTAAGTATATACTATATAATAATATTTATAGTTAAAACACTATATAAATGTAATTAACCAGTCTTAAAAAAAAAAAAAAAACAAAAAAATGTGCCATCGATTATATGTGTATTGTGCCGTAGGTATACGAAATAATATATATATACTTGGCATATAAAACATTCTGTTTAAACATATAAAATTATCATCGTGATTTTTTTATGGTAATCGAAATTCGAAATAAATATAAAACTACAATTTTATTGAATCATGTGTATAATAGTTGATAGATAACCTTAATATAATTATACTTCATAGTTCATAGTTTAATAGGTACCTATATGCTTTCTATAGAATTTTCAAATACCTGGTTACCTATGAATATTTTACAGTTTCATCTTTAAGGGGTGTAATTATCATTCAACAAATCATACATTTTAATTCATCTGTTGTAGAAAATACACATAAACAAAGTCAAATTGATAACAAATTTTTTTCTATCGCCTACCAACTTATTCTAATGAAACATTTTCACTAAATGTTTGTTTTATTTTTTTTTTAACATGATAAAAAAAAAATTCAAAATATCTTCAGTTCTATACATATAGTATATAGAAATTTTAAATTAAAATTTTTGTGTTGGTTCTAAAAACTTGAAAATTTAATTCTATGTTCCTCATAAGTTATTACTTAATGTAATAGCAGTTGAGAAGTGTTATAGGTAAAGATCGGATTTAAATGCATTTAAAATTGTAAAATATGCATGTAAACATGCACTAAAAGATTTAAAGAAGTCAAAACATACAAAAATAAATTTTTATTTTTATTACATTTTATATTTGATTTTAATTTTGCAGTGATAATTATTTATTCATTTTATTAAAATTTTCATAAAAAAAAGGATGATGTAGGTATAAATGTATAATATAGTAAATATATGTAATACACAAATGTGTTAAGGGGA